CTGACACCCAGGCCTTTGGACCTCCGCTGCCTGACAAGGTAGGCCAGGAAATCCACAACAAGTCAGGTGCCAGCTTGGGCAGCCGGGCCCAGAGGCTTGGGTAAGGGAGAAAAGAAGAGGGTTTTCACCCTCTCCGTCTATTGAAACCATCCAACACGCCCCTCAAGGTCGGCGGATAGTAATTGCGAGTAGTAGTAAGATTGGCTGTGCGGGGAGGAAGCTCGACAGCGAGGCCTGGAGTTTCGCCTTCGAAGATAAAACGGCCCTGGATGTGGCCCTGCACCGAAACTGCAAGGCCAGTCAGCTCTGGAAGCGTGGTAAGAGCATGTACACGAGCCTTGCAGCAGCTCCCTTAGAGCTTCGGGAGCCAGGCAGCGGCTGAGGTGATTCGGCGGCATGTGGGTCCACCCAAGTAGGCAGCTGATGCAGAAGATAAGGCGTTTGAGCCACAAGCTGCCACAAAAAGTCAAACATCGCCCGTGATTTGCCGGCTTTCGCCCACTTTTGACTGCATGGGCTGCTGTGGAAGATTACCTTGCCATGGTATGAAGATGAGCCGCTCACTCGTTCAAGCTGGCAAGTCAAGGTGCCGCAACCTGCTGAACATATGCTTGTAGCATGGACATGCCACATAGTCTCATTACTGTGGACGCCTAGATCCACACCAAGCGCATGCCAGCAACGAGCATTTCAACAGTCAGCTTCGTGGGCGGGGGAAAGGAACTCTGCCATGACGACACGCGCTCCGTCCCAAAACTCCGACGTACCATGGACGTGGGCGATCCGTCTCGGTCTCGATGGCAGTTTCGAAGCGGAGAGCTGCATCTCATTGCAAAACAGGTGACTGCAGTACTGCATGTAGCATTTTTGACAGGGCAACAGTGCTAAGGCAAGGTAACTTTCAGAAGCCCCCAAAGAGATCCTAAAAGTTTAGCTTGCGTGTTCGGCCGCGAGCAATTTTGGCTCTGCTCACATGTACTCCTCCTAGACGTGGGCACGCACTCAACCAATGACGTCGCAAGGACGGAGACTAAGCTTCATTCACCACTCATGGCAAAAGACGTGCTTGGAGCAGGATCCTGCAAGTCCTTCAATGGCAACACTGCTGCAAAAGTGAAGACGGGTCTGCATGCCAAAATGCCTTTGGAGGGTGTTGATCAGGTTGCAATTCGAGAAGGAATGCACAACTCCGCTTTTCAACAGGGAGACCCTAGAAGGCAGGCAGAATATCAGAATCCCAAAGTAACGGCAGTTGACCTTTACAAACTGGATGTTGCATGCGGTCTTCTGCTTACTTAAGGCATCCTAAAGCTTTAGAGGGCCCCGCATGCGTCTTGATTTGTAACAGCGATGTACTGAGCATGAACCCATCTCCACTTGTTGGCGCCCAGGTTTCAAAGGTTGGGGCTTCATCGACTACAATGGCCAGGACTCCAACTCCAAATCGGACTTTTCAAAAGATGATGCCTGGGAGCACAACCTATGCAAATCAAAGTGCTTCCAGTGGTCGCCGCAACCGGAGGATGTCTTCGTGCACATCAGAGATTGCCAGGGTGGTCAGCCCGCGCCTGGTGACATGCGCCCTGGTAGCAATGAGGGCAGCCTCTTCTGTTCTGGCCCAGGGGGCAACAACACAATAGCCATGGAAGGAAATCTCAAGCAACACAGCAAGCGCAGGGGTGGACCTAGCAAGCTTTACCACCCGAAGAAGCAAAAAGACGCCTAGTCTGCAAGGGATCATATCCTCGCCCCCAGGCTCACATTCGACTTGGAGGAGGCCCAGCCTGGCAAGTACAAGGCCAGACTCGGGAATGCTTCAGTGAATGGAAGAATTCCTCTGCAGTGGCTTCCAGTTGACTGCATCAACGCATGATGCCACGCGTAGGGCAGTGGGCTATGACTTGGAAAGGCGAAGAATGTGGTTGGTGGAACAGCACAACGAGACCAGGATGCCATGATGGGCAAGGCCTGCACCCGTTTCGAAGGAGATCTGTATAAGATCTGTGCCACTACTTTCGGCTTAGTGGCGTAGTAGGAGGAGGCTATTGCTACTATGGCCAGAATTGCTTCTACTTCTGCTGCTATTCTACTTCTTATTCTGCTTCTGTTTCTTTTTCTATTTTCTCTTCTACTACTACGACGACGACGACTACTACTACTGCTGCTGCTGCTGCTACTACTATTATTACTACTACGACGATGACGAGGATGACGACGACTACTACTACCGCTACTACTACTATTACTACTGCTGCTAGTACTACTGCTACCACCTCTGCTGCTGCCACTGCTCATGACGTGTGGTCGCGTAACATTCACAACATTCCATTTCATGATTCGGGAGCTGACGCTCTGTGTACAATGATGTGTGCGAGGCCACGCCAGTGGAGGGCACTGGCGCCCACACAGGCCTGGTTTGTGCTGTAGTCAAGGCAACTAGTCAAGGCAACTTGAGCTTGGAGGCTGTCCCTAGGATCCGGGGTCTTAGCAAAATCGTTTGGGATCAAGATGATGACGAGAAGAAAGCCGTGCCTACTTACGAACAAGATGGATTCTGTACGATTGCACCGGGTGCCCGGGTTCAAAACAGAACAGACCTCACAGCATTCAATGTTCAACACAATTCCAAGTCGGCAGGCAGTGTAAAGTCCTTCAACGCCTGGAGCTCACATGGGCTGTTTCAAGCACATGTCAGCGCTTCAGACTTGTGAAGGGCTTGGCTGTGTATTGGCCTCAGGAGGCACAGGCAGTTACGCCCATGTCAAAATTAATTCAGCATGCCGTATCCCTCCTTCTTCCCCCACCTATTCCATGTCTAAAGCCACTTTGAGGCCACAAAGGGTTTCGGATTCATCAGCGTTGAAGGCGGAGATGACGCTTCCTGTCTCAAATGGGCTCTTGTTCGGTACTAAATCCACAAAGGCCAATGTTGGTCTCTCAGGTTTTCGTCCACATGAAGAGCTGCGTAGGCCGGGTAAGGTCATCGCTCAAGCAAGCTGCAAGTGCGGTCAACGATGGCCGTAAAAGCAAAGCAGTTGAGAGGGCAAATGATTGGACCGTTACGCGCATTCAGCATAGTTCGCAGTGGCTTTTCTATACGTATACCTGTACATATGTTTGTAGGTCTCATATACGTTTGCACCTGTGCAGATGTGTTTATTTTGTTTGCACGCCACCGCTACACGGCAACAAAGCGGTGTCACGAAAAGCACCCTGCAGCATGAGCAGGTACTCTGTTGAATGCGGGGGACGTCGTCACTGGGCTCGCAATCCTTCGAGCCTCCAAAGGGTTGGGGTTTCCTTCCCGTATCCCAAGCCAGCCTTTCAGTGAGCTGGGTTTCATTGAAACTATCACTTAGCAACTAGGTAGGGAAAACTTCAAGTTACTGTCAGACTACAGCCCATATCTCCCAGGAGTTAATATTCATAGAGAGCACTGGCGTCTTGTAATAAGCCTGCTAGCCCCCGAAACCCCTAAATTTCTGAACAAAGTGTCCATCACTTGACTCTCCATCATTCGCGCAATATGTCCGTGTATATACCTACATTCCCCCGATATATCTCTTGCATACACCTATATCATCCCTATGTAGACCCTAAAGGGACCCAGGTCAAGTTTGACATGGAGCCCAGCCAAGCTAAGCCAGGCCAGCCGCCGCCTCAGCAGGGTGTCTTTTGTGCAAGCGCGTGCTTGGCCCTACCCCAGGTAGGAAATCAAACACGTAATAAAACAGTGTATGATCTGGATCCACCTATGGGTGCTATTAGTATTAGCATTATGTATTCTTAGCAAAAAGAACGCGAGTGTTTCATGATGGGCCTGCCTAGGTCCCATCTTTGAAATTGTTCATCTCAACAGTGTGCAAGGTTCCAGGCGGTCAATGTCACCGGTGGAACCTTGCCAATGTCTGCCATGAACATGGGCGGCACGGGGCTTGGCAGGGAGGCTGCCATGTCTAGTGCGAAATTATGGCATGGTAATCGTTGCAAGAAGCAATGACTTTAATCCGTGCCTAAAGCAAGAAGCTCCTTTTCCCTTCAAGTCTTCAGTTGCGAAGTAGAAGCCGTAGCAGTAGTTGTCAGTTGTTGTAGTTGTAGGATCGTAGTAACAACAGCAGTTGTTGTCGGTAGCAGTACGAGCTTTCTTGCCTGTAGTAGTTTTGGGAATAGTTGCGTGCATAGTGCTTTCTGTAGTCTCTTGCCTTCAGCGTCTCCAACACGGAGGCTTTCTGCGAGCACTGGGCAGACCAGGCTCAGAACAGGTAGTGGCGGCGGTGGCAGGGGCCGGGATAGTGGTGGTGGTGGCGGCAGCGGTGGCGGCAGCGGTGGCGCTGGTGCTGGTGGTGGTGGCAGCGATGGCGACAGCGGTGGCGGTGGTGGTGGCGGTGGTGGTGGTGGCGGTGGTGGTGGTTCCGATGGTGGTGGTGGTGCAGTGGTGGTGGTGGTGGTGGTGGTGGTGGTGGTGGTGGTGGTGGTGGTAATTAACAACAGCAAGACTCGTGAGAGTATTGCTGGTTGTGTCTCTGGCACTTGCCCTTTGGTTGCCTCAACTTTGCCAAGGCATGGGTGGCAAGGGGGGCTACGGAGCCATGCAATTCATGGCAAGCAGCTGGGACATCTCGATTAGCAGAGGGCCGTGGTGCATGAGATGGTGCATTTGTAGGTACATGAATGGGAGCATTTGATGTTGAACTTTAGATTCAATAGCACATGAGAAGGAGGCAGTGCATGAAGGTCATGCATACCAGGCCCAAGCCCATGCCGGACGTTTGCTTGTGAGAACGTCTACGGGATGATGAAGCGCAGCTTCATCCGTTTCCCTTACTTGTACCTTCAATCCTTGGCAATGGTCTTATCATGAACACTTCTTGTTTGAGAATCTTCTTGAGGCATGATGGGAGGACTGAAGGGCGGCATGATGGCCGGAGGTGGGAGGACCTATGAAATAAGAAGTGCAACCTTTGCAGTCTGATTTGGGAAGAGCTGAACACCTAGGCTGGTTGAGGCTGGTTGGAAGGATTCGGAAGGGCATTGAGTTGAGGATGCTGCGTTCTATGGTTAACAGTCGGCCATGGCTGCTCACCAAGGTGAAATCTGCAAAATTGCCTTCGGCTGAGATCTGTCAGGCATGGGCCCTTACGGCGGTGGCTACGGCGGCGGCGGTGGCTATGGCGGCGGCGGTGGCTATGGCGGCGGCAAGGGCAAGGGCAAGGGCGGCTATGGCGGCTACGGCGGGTACGGCTGGTGCTTTGGCTTTTGAATGCTTTTGACTGCGTGTGACTTCCCGGACTTGCATTGGTATGGCATTGTTTGGGCTTTCTTGATGGGACCCCCGCTCTTCCATGTGCTGCCAAGGTGAGCTGCTGCTCAATTCAACAGTGATCGTGTATTCGGTACCTCTGGAGCGAAGGATTCTGCATACCAAGAAGTCTTTCCAAAACAGGGGTCCATCGGTATGTTTTCAGTCTTTTCCATTCGCATCTTCAGTCATACAGTCAGAGGTGGACCGAAACTGTTTCCCCAAACGCCCAAGAGGCATCCTAGTGATCTCGTAGGGGCCTACCTACCAAGCAGACGTTTGTCTGGGACTGACGTCTGCAATGGCCCCTGGCAGCAGCCTGAAGTGATGAGGGGTGTGGTGAATACTTTAGTGATACGGTAAGTTCTTGTCCTCACTTTCGCAGCTTGCACCCATCCCCTTATCTCCTTGGAAAGCGGTTTTGCAAGAAAAGCATATGATCAACAGCGTGCTAGGGGCCAGTACAGCCTGTGTCGTGGCAGTTGGAAACCATCTCCGATTTGCATAATGTTCAGCTTTTTGCTTCCGCCCTGAGAGCAAAAGTCCTGCAATGGCAGTCTCACAACGGGCCTGAGGCAAACTGCTCGGGTTCATCACGTGCTGCCTCAAAGCAACCGTTGCAGGAACGTGCCTGAAGTTCAGGAATCAAAGCAGCTCCATACAGGCCTTGCCGCTCCGGAGGCTTTCTAGAAAGTCTTGCTTGCCGCCAACACGTGCGCTTCGCGGTGGCACATGAGGATACCCCCTTGCTGCAGAGGTTGATCTATACAGCCACATGCTGAACGTCCCATGGCCTTCGCGAAAGCGTGGAAATATTGAGGGCGCGGATGCCTCTCTCCATGGGCATATAGTCCCCTGAGGTAGATAGAATTCCACCAATAACATACAAGATCGGCACACACCCCATATTCTATCTACTTAAGGGGGACAAACACTACACTACAGCATTGGATTCTAAGCCCAGCTTGGCGTGGATGGAGGCACCCCCACCCCGTCAGATTAATGGTCTCGCCGGTGCAGAAAAAGTGTTGCTTGTGCTGCCGTTGAAGCCTGCAACAAGAACGTGAGAGACCAGGTCATCCTGCCCTGCATGGACTATTTTAGGGTTTAGGGTTTAAGGGTTTAGGGTTTAGGATCATAATCTTATGCATAATGTGTAGTATTGTAGTCATCATGACCTATGTAGCTGATCCATATCCATTCCAGAAGCAGCTCTGCCAAGGCATGCTGCGCTAAATCTGCTTCCGGGCGCATCTGTTTCCGAAATATCGACTGCGCCGGGAACTAAGCAACTTAGCAGGGGGTGACGTCTAGTATATCTAATTGGCACAACGGACGATGCTTTTGCTACATGGGCCCTGGACTAAAGTTACAGTATGTTCCGTAAAGGTCCTCCCGCAACCCCCTATACACATCCCGTACTATTGGTCCCCCCAACCCAACTTTGGTCTGTAGCCCAGATGCAACCTGGGGCACTGGACTATGGTCCCCCTTAAGTAGATAGCATATGCGGCATGTGAGGATCTTACAATAACGCACCCGAAGCCATATTCTATCTACACAATCTACACAAGGGGGACTATAGGGCTTGATTGCCTCGCTAAGCAGATTTTCCGATACTGGAGTCCAAGGTATCGTCGCGCAAGCCTGCTTGTACATCCAGACCGCCGCCGAGGTCAAGCTGCTGTATCATTGATGATGGCGATGCAAGACAGAAATCTGTGCATGTCCTGAAACTTCTTTCCACTCCGTTGTAAGAGCTAGAGCTGCCAAAAACCGTCAATCCGTCCTAGCGGCACTTACTCCCACTTACTCCCGGTTCCATGCTCGGAGGAGACCCTGATGCTGCAGAGAAGTTCGCGCGCCTCACCCAAGCAAGGGCTCCTGGGCTGAAGGGTGGGAGCTGACAACTACATGTTGTGTACCTTTGTTTGATCTTGTTTGGGCTGCCAGGACATCCTCCTTAACAGCGCTCAGAAGACATTGGGAGTGCAAGCGGCCTCAGATCTTCGCATGCACCTTCGATGAGCTTCGAGCATGCGTAAGGTAGTCGCCTGGGATTTACAGCCATCAACGCGAAGTGGCATAGCTAATGCAGAGTACACAGTTAGCCTTTTCCCATTGGATGCCGTCTTTGGCGCGGATTTCGGTTCACAGCGTCACTCGCTCCTGGTTGTGGATAAGACGAGGCTGGGACATCTGCATTGCCTTTCTTTGCTATCCGTTTCCAGCGCTTGTGTCGGTTTCAGGCTTCCTGTGATGACAGTAGTTCTGGCCTAAGCTGTGCCGCAAGCCAGACGGACTTAATACTAAAATTGAATTTGCAGATGCATGCCATGCGCAAGTTTAGCTCTTTTGTTCTCCGCACTGTTGCTATGCTTTCCACAGGTCACAGGTGCAGCACCTGTGCACACGTCCCACGCAGACTATGTGAAAGCAGACTATGTGAAAGCAATGCCCGGAGCACAGAATGTTATGCAATCAACACAAACATTGGAAGTGCATGTAACTGCTACCAGAGAGTCTAGGTTACGGGACACTTAACGGTGCAAAGAGGGGAGTGATGAAGTGAGTCTACATGACATGGTCCAGCCCATCGCCAGTTTTGAATCGTTCGAACGCTCCGCAATTGAGCTTTCCTCACGATGTGGCGCCGGAGAAGATATCGTAGTTCTTTGCTGCCGCAGCTCTACTATCACACGGTATCTCCAATCTACTGTAATTCCAACTGTTTGGACCGACGCTGGATGTTGGACAAAGGTCGAAACTGGATGGCGAACTGAAGGCTGCCTTGTGCTTGCGTAGGCTTGGGTACAGACGCAGGTTGCTGCGCCAGCCAGCGCTTTTCATCTGGAGAGAGAAAGTCATCCCACGAAGCCCATCCAAGCTTCGGCTGGAAGTGTTGCTTACTGCTGCAAACATGATGCTGTTCCTTTTGGCGCTGGTGATGGTCGCTGCGATGGCGGCAGCAGCGGTAGTGGTGGCGGCGGTGTTGGGGATGGTGACAGAGAGGGTGGTGACAGAGGTGGTGGGCCTGCGTGACTGCGGCGGCGGTGGCATAGGACAACTCTGAAGACATATGCGGCTACCATTGCTGCTATGAGAACGACGGCTACTTGTGACACTGTATTGCGGAAGTAGTTGCTGCTGCTGCTGCTGCTGCTACTGCTGTTGCTACTGCTACTGCTGCCATCAGTGCTTCTGCCATTAATATTATCATTGCTTCTAGCATCATTGCCATTCATCTTTATGCTTCTTCTTTCGTTTGTCAGTGCCTTCGTTGTTCGTCAACTTTGTGCGAGACCTTGAACGCCAGGGTTTTGCGGTCCTGGAGCCGCTCGTGGAGAGGCTCCGTGAGTTTCTTGCGCATAGTAATATAGTAATAATGATATTAGAAATAGTAGTAATAATAATAGGAATATTAATAGTAATAGTGATAGTTAGAGTGCTGATTTGGTTTGGCTGCTTTCTCGGCACCGATGGACATTTTCATGCGCGCCTGGAAGCAAGCCATTTGACTGATGGTCTTTGAGTCTGGGTGCAACGCAGGGAGCTGTCCTGCCAGTCCTCCGATGGTTCAAACCCATTCAGCCACTCGGATTACAAAGAGTTAATTCCTGGGAGGGGTTTCATTACAACTTTTTGCACTTCACCACTTTTGGGGTGTTTCATGTTAAGATAAACTTTTAGTGGCGGATTCAATGGCGAACCGGACTAGCGTGACCGGGGTATTCACGGAATGCGGCTTTTGCATGACTGTTGCTTTAGCCATGGCCTAATTTCACTCGAGAAACTCGGTTCGGACTAACAGCAGCACAAATCCAGATACACCAACTATGACCAACTGCTGGCAGAGGCGCAGAGAGATCGGACCTGGACACCATGAGCCAGGTAAGCCAGGTCTCCACGCGGTGCCTTGACTGGTCACTTGTGTATGTGCCATGACAAATTTGGTGGTGTTTCACAAGATGAGTCCTTACGAAGTAAGTTTGCCTGGAATGGGGCCGTGCCACCCGTTCCAATCCTTTGAAGGATGCCAGATGGTGCGGGCTCCCCAAACCATCCCCACTACTATTATTATTGCTACTATGATTGCTATTAGTACTAGTATTGTTCTGATAATCCTATTATTACCCAAAACAATCGAAAGGTCCTAAAAAGCCGCTGAGGTCCAGCCAAAGCCGGCAACTGCCCATCGGCAAGTCGCGAAAGCGGCCCAAAAAGAAGGCGGCAGCTCTAAACACCTGGGTTGCTGTTAAGGAACTTAGATTAAGTTACCATAGTGATGGGTACCCATAGTAATTAATGTGGTTTCCACAATATAGTAACTTGACTTAAGTTCCTTAACAGTAACCCAGACTTGAGTCCTCAACACTCCCAAAACACATGAGGATCCTCCAAACAAGGAGGGCTGGGGTTCGCAAGGAATATTGCCCTTCGATTGCTTGGGATTCTTGATTTATGGGCTCGGAGGGACTACAGATGTCGAAGCGTCAAGTTACCCTAACCTAAGGGTCCAAGTACCAAGTAATCATATACTTACCCAAAACCTATACTATAATTACTATTACCCCAAACCCAAGTACCTTATTATTGGGTACATGGACCCTCTAGGTTAGTGGAGGACAATGTGTTGCAGTAAGCCCTAAACCCTAAGCCCGAAACCCTAAACCCTAAACCTTTAACCCTCCTAAGCCCTAAACCTGAAACCCTAAACACTAAGCCCTAAACCATAAACCCTTGTTGCAGGACTCCTTTGCATCAACCTGTTCCTCGATAGCAGAGCTTCAGCCGCCTCCACCTAAAGGCCGTGGTGTTGCCTGGCCACATGAGCTATGGACTAAATTTAAGTTGGGGGGGGATCTATAGGGGACTATACAGGGTTTTGGGGGGACCTATTAAGGGATATACTACATATTTAGTCCAGGGCTCACATGAGCTATAGTCTAAACTCCTTAAAAGGGGTTATATAGGGTTTTACAAATAGGGGACTACTATACGGAGCATTGGCTATCTGGTTAATGACGTGGTCATGCCATCTATATTCGATTCATTTACATAGGCCTAGGGCCTGCCCCTTGGGAGTTTCTCCGCCAGGCACTTGGTGCCGAATTGCCAGCTCATTGAAGCGTCTGCCTTAGAATCTTCTCGCACCTCATGCTATAACATACTAGAATAACTATAATATACTATAACATATTATACTATACTATACTATACTATAATACACCGTATATATCTGAACCCAAAGCATTGTGGCAGCTCAGGTGGCTTGGGCGATCTCTTGGGCATCTTTGCTCTCCCAATCGGTCCTCTTACGAGGCCATGGCGCCAAGCACTCTTTTATCATTTTTCGAGCTTCTTGGACAGTTCCTTCGGTTCAGATAGATTCTGGTACATTATAGTGAAGTATACTATAGTATGTTATGGTATATGTTAACCCTAAACCCTAAACCCTAAACCTGTACATTACAATATATTAGAGTATATGGTGGCAGGTTATTTTGAGGAAGTCGTCCAGCGAGATCCTCGCGTCACCGGGCTCGTTCTGCCCTTCAGATGCAAGTGGCCATGCTGGGCCGGGGGGGGTCATAATAGAGCAAAATATACCATAATAGAAAATAATATACCACAACATGTTATAATATACCAGGATATACTATAGTATAGTCTAATATACCTTAATATACTATAATATGCCATAATATACCTGAGCGGCAGAAGTGAGATGTGTGCTGTTGACACAGGGCACAACGCACGCTGTCTTGTTCAATCCGCTGTCGTATCTGATTTGGATGGAGTGGCGTTTTGGAGCCCGTGGTCTCGCTCATGTGAAATTTGATGCTGGAATTGTGCGACCAGGCGCAACACCAACCTTTCGTCGGGAGATCAGCGCGCGATCCTACGCCAACCGCTTCATTCAGTTCAGAGCCTTGGCGGAATTGGGGTGTCCAGAAGTGCACCATGACCAAAGAACCCAAATGCCGCATGCTCCACAGATCGCGGAGCAGTTCCTGCCGCGTACCCCGCCCCAGTTCACATGATCTTGGAAAGTAATTGCATGACTCGCTGCGTGGAGCATAGATCCTCAATATCTTACTGCCAATGATGTACTTACTTTATGCTCTGTGATAGGCATGGAGCAAACGAAGGCAAAAGCACGGCAGACCATCATGAATTTTCATAGCGCTTGGATGTTTAGCGTATGCAGCTGGACTTGAGCAAGTGCGGGGCCAACTGAAGGGCAGCAACGAGTGTGGCCAGTGGGCACTGAGGCTTAGAGTTCGTTACTTGGCCGCAGACAGGGAATCCACTCTGCCTTGCAGAATCTGTCGACTGTGGCGAGGGTCCAGAATCACATACTGTCCTAGGGCAGTGTGTTGCTCTAGGATGAATGAAGATAGGGCAGTGATGCCATACAGCTACCCAAGCCACCGTATCATCTCAGGCTTCCTCTTTGCTGCAAGTCCCCCCCGTAACAATACCGCTGAGTGGGCAGAGAGGACCAAACGCTTTCGCCCCGGAGCCGAGCCTTACTCGACTCTCCGCGTCGCAGCAGGGCTGCGTTTGCTTCAATGTTATGTAGATGTTGTACTTTCCTGGAATTCCGCTTGTGAGAGATCTATGGCTCTAGAGCTCTACAAACAGCCGACGAATGAGCTCAGGTGTGTCTCGCACATGGCAGGCACGGCTGCTTGTCGTGGCAGCAACTTGCTTGAAGATGCAACTGAAAATCTTCCAAAAGTTGCTGACAGAGCTGGCAGGATAGTGAGGACTACCAGTACCGACTGTCCATGCCATAGCAGAGCCGCTTCCGCACAGTGCCGCAAAACTAGCGGCGCTGAATCGGATTGGCGTGCAGCTGCCGAGGGGTGCAGTCGGTTGGTTGTCCATTTTTTGTCTGTTTCAGCCCTTCCCGCGGCTTCAAACCGAGCATGACTGCGGAGCAGGTGCTTTTTGGGATATCAAAAGAGGGATGGGCAGCGGAGACACTTTCAATAGAATTCAATTGTCGGCTGCCGCTGTTGCTTCCAGTCCTCCCTCCGTTTGCCTTGAAGTCTTGTCTAGTGTACAGGTGCCAAGCAATGGAAAAGGCTGCCAGGAGCTTGCTTGCCCTAGCTCCTAGCTCCTAGCAGCCTGCATATTGCGACACGTGTGAAACGCTGTTGCTCGTGCTTGGCGGAATGGCTGATGAAGGGAGTGGCCATGGATGAGCGTCTTCATCACTTCAAAACAACCTTCTCGTGCCAGCGTGTGGTGGGTATTCCAGGGCTTCTTCCCCGAGTCAACGCCGGCATCATCACAGTTTCCGCGCTGCCTAACCTGGGATGCGCTGGAAACTGATTTCCAAAGAGATTACCTTAAAAGACCAGTCGCATCCGCAGTCTCAAGGGGTCATCTATCTGAGTGTCTGACCAGCCCTCCACGGGGCAACCTTGGCAATCACGAGTTGTCAGGCTCCAGTGGCTGCCCCTAAGACGATCTTCCGATGGAGGATGAGGTCTACCGCAGCACCTGATTAACCGGAGGCAAAGAAGTTTTTAGGGACACGACATCAGTTTCCTCACTGGTAAAGCTGCTCCCGAAGAGGCAGACCGCACCCATCATTTCGTCTTTTGTTTATTAATGCTGGCAAGCACTCGCCCTGATGTCAGCAATCTGTGCCATTCCTGAGAAGCTGTGGCAAGATGCGACATTCAGGAAGAGATTTCCTGCAGCTTGTGGAGATTCGCAGAACCACGCGACACACCTTTAATGCATTTTTGTTAAATTCGTTGCAGCAGTTGTGACTTATATCGGTTCTTAGCCGTTTTCACAACGGACTGAAGCGGCAAGAAGCGGCCGTATGGCTACCCCGACCCTTTCTTGGATGGGATGCCGATTTGTCAGTTCGGAGCGCCACACAGAAGTTTGCTCTGTCTAGAGGGCAGCTACAGCTCTGCTGTAGCCAAATAGACAAACAAGTCTGAAGCATACTGTCATACCTCAATTCTATCACGGTGTGCAAGGCAACCCCTGTCCGCAGCAGGACTAATGTGGCGGCGCTTTGGGCCTGCTTAGAGCCACGTGCTTTGCGCCTTCTGCGCATTTGCTCTCGTTAGCTTCAAAGCGGGTAGTATCACATTTGGGCACTCTGCGTGGAAAGCCTTGGCTGTGGTCCTGCTAAGTCTTTGACAGAAGTGTAGAGAGATTTGGGCAGCTGGAGTGAACAGGCATGGCACTTGGTCATTGCAGGCATGGCGTATGGCATATGGCATCAAGCAGGAGGCACCTCAAGGTACCACAACGATCTAGACACCCTAAACCCTAAACCCTGTCATAGATCCAGTGGTGTAGAATTCTCTTGAACTCTCTTTACAGGGGAACTCCGCCAACGCCGACTATCCTGCAAAGCAAGGCCAGCTGCGAGGTCCCCCCTGAGTAGGCGATACCAGAGCTCAATCATTACAAGGAACTACAACCAGCATGCACGCAACGGACCTTGCAGAAGTACCATGCATCTCCAGTTCGTCCCAGTCCACAATTTTGGGTTTCAAGAAGGCTCAATCAAGCAGCACCATAGCAAAGCTGCAAGAAGGAAGTGGTCGAACGCTTTGCTCGACCGGGCGTGGCCTTGTTTGACCTCGTGGCTTTTAAAGTTCTTATTGCTCCCAACCGGATCCAGGTTGAAGACAGATCATTTTGAGCATGCGCTTCCTTTTACATTGATTGGCCTGAACTTGAATCAAACCTGCGCCTGGAGGGCGCCAATCCAGATAGAGGGTCGGGCAAGCAGCATGTGGCATGTGGCCTTGCAATTCGGTAGATCGAGAAAATCCGTTCAAGATTTTTGGGGTGTTTTCTGACGCACGACCTGCCCATAGGGGCCATCTGGCTCAGAGTCGACAACAGAGTCGCTAGACTGTTAGGACGGAAGCCTCTTCGAGATCTGTGCTGGTCCAAGCCGAGCATGGTAACTGACTAGCGGACACTCGAACTTCACAGAACTCATCATCAGCCCCTGTTGAACTAGATTTTCTCATGGCAGCTCACAAGCTTGAAATTCGCGTCAGTTTTGTCCTTGATAACGGCTGGATACGTGAGTTCGTGGGTGGGCAACGCTTGCGGCCAATGGTTTCAGTATATTTCAGTGCTGCATAATGTCAGGTGGCTCGTAAAATCAGCAAGTTTCAAGGCGGCCCAAGCCGTTGCGAAGAGTGTGTAGCGAAGTTGCAATACTAAAAGGATATTGGCAGGAACGTTCCCGCCAATCCACTTCTTGGAGTTGATCGTGGGTGCAGGATCTGATCATGTTTGAGTTTGAGTAGTGAGGTTGAGAAGGGCAGGTCTGAAGATACTTCCGTCTCAGTCAACATGCCAATCATGGCGGCCGTCGCAACAACGCCGGCTTAAGCAGTTCATTGGCAAGTGCCGTGAACTGGGAAGGCAGACACACTAAGCGACTGTTTCCAATTTTAGAAGAATACACTTTATCTCGCGCACTGCCAGTGATCTGCTTTTGCCGCAGGCTAGCCACAGATCTTTTTATAGACTCCAATGGCAAATTTGAAAAGATCGCAATGCATCGCTCAAGCTTGCGAGGTAGGGTGGGGGGTGCCTTGCAGGCGTGTGCTCGTTTCAAGGTCCTTTGGCAGCTCTGGACCAGCAAGATGGGAACCAAGACGATTTGTGGATGGCAAGGCTGCTGGAGAAGTTGAAAGTTGCAAGGTGCCAGGGCTCCTGGGTAAGAATGACGCCAGGCTACAACCAAATCTCCACCGAGGTGGCTCAAAGGGCTTGGAAAGCCGTGCATTCGACTTGCAAAAAGCGCTTAACATCAGCAATCCGCCCGTCAGTGTCGGCGATCTGCAACAATGCTGCCGTGTTGCTGCTTAGTCTCCGACAGCAACTCAATTGCCCCGACCTTGCAGCTAGATCATCTCCATAGCAGTCGGTGATTGAGGTATCAGCTTTCTGGGCAGCTTTGTTGCATGTAAGAGTCAGATGGTAGCCTCTGCTTGATTCTAGTGTCCTACACTTATCCGGCATAGTGTGACTTTGAACACTTTTGTGCTGCCACCGCTTGTAGTGGCAGAGCTGTCCCTGTGTGGAGGCCGCCAGCAGCCGCACAACCAAAGAAGCGTGCTTCGCTAAGCCGTTGGCAGTTTGCATGCTTTGTCAAGATGTTCCAATGGCGCGTGCAAAAGTACGCGTCTCTTGCCTGCAACAGAGCAAAAGCCAGCTGGCTGCAGAATGCATGGCAATGTCCGGTGGGAGCCGTATAAGTTTGCGAGGAGGCATGTGGGATCTTTCTGGAACAGTTTCACCTTTTCGAAGGTCATTCCGTGTGGAATCGTGGAATCACACGTGCTGAGTTTACTTGGTTGGAGTCATCTGTTGTTTCTGCTCACGGGTGTTAGGTGCCGCGACAACAGCCTCGGCGCGCGGCTCAGTCTCACGATGCGTGTGGCACTCGTAGGACTGCCGTTCTGGTTTCCGACACATCCAGAGTCGGGCAAGCCAAAACAGACTCAGACGGACTCAATCCCGAATACTGAGCTGCGGTCCGGAAATTTCATTGATCATTCGGGTGGAGGGTTGCCAGGGGAGGGGCGGAGATGTGGGAACAGTACATGATGCTCAGATGCACAAACATTGGAAATCTGATTCTATCAGACCCGTGACGGTTCCAACAAATGCCTGTCGCAGTGCAGAAACGGCCCAAAACCAAAGCTGACGTAGTCAGTCTTTGGAGGGCCTAGCAGGAAAGGTAATTCTTTCATTTCAACACCTGTCTGAGGTAAGGAAGAGAGCACCTCCAACAACGGCAGGCAAACCATTTGGCTCGTGTTTTGTGGCTGTGGCCAATTCCTGGATGCCATGCCCATGCAGCTGACTCTCGGAAGGGCCAAAGCGCCCAGCAAAGCGCCTGAAAGCTCGGGAGGCTCCCCAGGCCGCAACTTGTTCTTAGGATGGTAGTGCAGTATGTAAAGTCCGGCACAAGAATGACTGTGCCTGAAACAAGGCTACCGAAGCCTTCCTTGCCTAATTTCCTGCGGGTCTTGTTCTGCACGACTTTGTCACAATTACAAGTGTGATGCGTGCGCTCCTGAGCCTATCTGGGCAGGTTGAGGAAGTGAGGGTGGAGGACAGCTCCAATGTGGAAGCCTCGGGGCCGAAGGAGCTCCGTTTTCAGTCAACCTCAATACAAGTCTTTGTATATCCTTGTAGGATGAGGACCTTACAGATGCAGCAGAACCTGCTCCTGAAGTTGTGGAGGAGGAGATGCCGGAAGGCCAGTGGGTGGCTCACTGTGCAGATGGCACTTGCCCTGATCAACTATAAAGCTAAGGTAACTAAACAGGAAGAGAGAAGGACGCAATCGACATTTTAATACAAGAATTGTCATGGCATCAAAGTCTGGAACTCAGGCCTCTTTGCCAGCCTCTCAACTGCGTTGTCCTTGGACTGGCCAGTGGCTTACATCCGAGAAAGCTGCTATGCTGCGAGAGGGCCACAGTCCTGCAGGCCTGGCGCTACGTGTCAGGCCAGCCGATGATAGCCGATGTGCTGATGAAGTCCGGGGTACCTTTACTGCACTTTGAAAAGCATACAGATTACCTCCTGACCAGGTGCCGACCAGCACAAGACTGATGTTGGCCAACATGCTCTGAGCTTAGCCGGTCAGCTTCCAACCCAAACCGCTGGCGATGCGAAGGTGCAAAACCCTGTAGTTCTCCAGTGGCAGGGAGTGGGCACCTTGCCGAAGCCGTCAGAAGCCACTCCAGTACTCCTGTAGATCCTCAGCTGGTTCAGGTGCAGAGTCCTGCAGACAGGCAGGGAGGGCCTTGCAGAGGATGCAAATCTGTCGCTGCCTCAGCCGGTCAGCCGGGATGATTTGCACAAGTCCCCCTGCGCAAGGAGCATACTGCCGTGACCTCCTTTCTGGATGGAACAAGTCTATGATTATGCTGATGCACCAGCTTTCCGTTCAGCTTGCTAATTGCTGTCCGAATTCCGGGCAGTTACCGCAGACCATTTCATATCTCAGCTTCAGCTGCATGTTAAGCCAACATCAATTTTGAAGTCGTCTCATTCCAGTGCAGAGTTACGATCCTGGGCATGAACTGCACTTTCTAAAGCTTCGTAAGTTGTGAGGCGTATGGCGCAGCTTGGGGTTGCGGCTCCTTGCTTGGGATACGACTCCTAGGGTGCTTCACCACTCCTGCTATGAAGCATGTGTGGAGCAGGTGTATAGGATAGGATGATGATCATGCTGATGATGATGGTGATGCTGATGCTGATGATGTTCTTCTTTGTGATAGTGAACTTTTGCTGTTGCTGCTGATGCGAGCAGGAGGAGGAGGAGTGGTCGTGATTGCGGCAGGAAAAGGAGGAGGAGCAACAGGAGATTCCCTCAACTCGACTGGTACCACATTTTGAGATTGTGTCAGATGCGTATGCGGGCCGACTGGGTCCTAAGTTTAATTCGTCGTCGTACCCTCTTGCATTCCATGCCGCTTCATCATGCTTCACCCATTGCCTGCTGCTTAGACGCATATGCCAGCCTGAAACAGAAAAATGGAGACAGGAGGAACTGGTTCTGCATGACGAGCCATAGCGATTTCACTTTCACGAAGGCTCCATCCATTTCAGAGAGAGGTGCTCCGGATTGTGCGCGACCTAGAGGGCTCATCAGGTCGAACGTGGCAGCTGCAATGCCAACGGCACACCATTTGTGCATGAAGCGCCCCCTGTCAAGGTTCAAAATACCTTGATCCAGATGGAGACGGAATTGAGACATTGCCTGAGACGGCTTTGCGCATGCAACCATAGATTCTACTACAGATCTAAGGCTCGGCAGCTGGGATTTGTTTGTAGTTTGTAGTTCATGCCCCATTCTCAGTCTAAGGCATGTTCTCTCATTGTCAAGCCTCGACAGCTGTCATGCATCGTTGGCCATAAGGGCCAGGAATGAGCTTCAACACAGCGTGCTTTTCAGCCCTCATGACCCACAGAATGATAGAAATGATGCTTTAGCTCATTAACTCATCTTGCCTTCTCAGGCTACAAACTGCCCGAGCCCAACCTCCCACCGAAGCCCCTCCACAATCCGAAGGCCGACGCCCTTGTCAACAACCTTCCATGTTGCACACATCGCAAAGTTAAATTGGGGTCCCCACCTAGACCTCCCATACCACAGCCCAGGATCCCCAGGAAATCAGAGTCCCGATGCTCCATGGCTCCATGGAATACTCTGCCCAGCTCTGCCCAGCTCTGCCCAGCTCTGCCCAGGTGCCCGGGCCTTGGCTGCCAGCGAGCTGGCCGCCGCCAAGGCAGATGATGCAGCTGCGCGCGAGGCTTGGACCCTTGGCGGTTGTGATGATGGTAGTGGCGGCAGCCTTGACTCTGAGCACTTTCAGATCGAATTGTATTAGCGGTTATCGGTCCAGGAAGCCACAAGAACAGGTGCATCCATGTCATGCACTGAGCCCCAGCTAGAACGTGAGCATCGCCTGGCCAGGCACTTGGGCAGGCTCTTTGGCCAGCAAATCAGAGCAGGGCATGACAGAGGATGTCAGGAGGGGTGCCATGCGCGGCAAGTATGAACCTAGTTTTTTGTGGCTTGCCCTGTTCGCTTTGATCTGTTTTTGCAGTTGGAAGTCTACAGTCTGGACCCCTTGCAGTGGTTGGACAAGTTAGGTGCATGGGGCGATCACTGGGGATAGTAGGGGAACTATCTAGTTGCGCTCTGTTTCTATCGTTCATGTTCAGTCTTAACTTTGTTCCCCCCCACACCCCACTGGTCTACTGAGTCTACTGCTATTCGGTGTGATAGAGTCTAGGTCTAGGTCGGACATATTGGCACTTGCAAGCCGAGGACGTGCGGCATGCCGAGAGCCGTGTGGCTGCTGTTCTGGCAGAGGCAAAAAAACCTACTCAGCAGAGACTGCAAATTCCTTATAGCACCGGACATCAATTTGAATGGCAAGCTGGCTATTTGTGGGGCATGGGAGCATGCTTTGCAGATGCAGCTTTAGTTGTGTCAGCGGTAGGAGGTGGAGAATTGTTTTTGATGCCGGTACACGGTTGCTCGCCTCCAGCCCGCAACAGGCCACTCGTGCGAGTGAGATGCTCTCAGAGCGCAAGCAGGCCTGGCTTAATGAGGCATAATCGCATGACAATTTACCCTCTCCACCCCCTTGCTGGCTCTTTACTTGACTTGGTGTGCTCGTGCCGATGCTAGTTCGACATCACAAACGCATCTTTTTGAACTGTGGCTCAAACTGCCCGTGCTGTGTCGTGCGAAGGCCAGGGAGGCACAAACGCCACCTGTGCCTGCGCCATGGCAGATGCCACAGGGGAGCAGAGACTGGAAGTGGAGCGACTGGAGCGATGCACAACCTACAGCCTTGGAGATGAATTCTTCAATAGACAGTGGGAGCCATGTAACCAACCACTGCCTTGGGCACCTCCTGCCGAGAAGATTTTCGAGCTGCACTTCTTCTGGCAGCTATGGAATAATCTGGCCAAGGCTGCTATGCAGAAGGACGTGCCCCTAGTGTCTCTTCGCAACATGTCCTACATGCTGAATGACGCGTATCGGATTCCCAACCCTCTGGTGGTCAACTTCTTTGGTAAGGTGTCAGAGCATCCTGTCCTGCAGAGAGGATCTTGTGAGGGCCAAGTGGCATGCACATGCAATACTATGCAATACTGTTCACATCCTCTGTTGCACCCAGCTATCTCAGGAAGTATGTCTCCTGGCAACATCTGCGGCTTTCGCTGATCAGTGAGGGGCACCCGTCCATCAAACTCAGCCTCCTAGAACGAGCCTGGCCTGCAACAAGCCTTGCTTCAGGTCAGCTGGCCGGCTCTGCCCACTGTTTTGGATTGGTGTTTTGCAGGCTTTTAGAATGTGCAACTATGTTGTGTGATGTCAGGTGTCTTCCTGACCCTGGAGGAGCCCAACAGTTGCCTTATGGCCAAGGGATGGTTTTACATAATCATGCTGCTAGGCTGAACCGAGCTTACGGCTTAGGCCTTGGGCGGAGAGGGAGTTGTTTGCTGAGGATGCTGTGACCGTGCCTTCCGCCTGAGGATTGCCGCGGTTGCAAACCTGACCACCTTCATCCTTCCCGACACAGCCGCCTGGGCCTTTGAAGAGCTCTTCGGCGATGCTCACAACCGGCAGCATCAGGCCAATCCAATTTTCTGACAACAGTGATTTGGGTAGCAGGCTTGCAGGGCCCTTTCGCATGCAAATCGCCTGCATACATGTCCCTTTGTGGGGAAGGCCATCTTCGGCACTGTGTGCATACTGGAAGCTTGATTGCAGACTTGGGGGCCCGCGATAGCATGTGCATGGGGTGCCTGCTCGTGCAGAGGTCTTTACTTTGGACTACGTAGCCAAGTTGCTGTGCTCACCATTTGTCCGCATCGAGCTCACGCAGCCCTCCGTGAAGTATTTCCACCTGGATGAGCTTCTTGGAAAGGCACTGGTCTCAACATTGGACCGAGGCAAGCGTTCGGCAGCTAAGGTCGCAGCGAGCAGTGGTGCCAGGGACCCGATGGCAACGGTTCTTGGACTTTGTGTTACAAGTGTCGAACATCGTGGACCTGTTGGCCATTTTGCCCTGGTGGCTAGACCTTTGCTTTGTCAAGATCCTGCCCGGGGCCGCCTTTTTGCGGATCATCCGAATCTCACGGATTTTCCACCTTTTCAAGTCAGCCCGGTACTTTGACATGGTCCAAGTTCTGGGGCTGACCTTGTGGAAAAGCATCAATCTGGTTGCTATAGTTTTCGCTCTCATCACCGTGGTGGGGCTGTTCGCTGCTTGCCTGCTCCAGCAGGCTGAGGTGACGATGGGAAGTGAAATGAGCGAGGTCTTCCAGACAGTTCCAGGCTCCTGGTTCTGGATCTTCTGCAGGCTAATCAGCATGAAGGACACCAGCTACGGCAAAGGTAGAGTAGAAAGCTTCCTTGGCATCGCCATTCTGGCTGTCACCCTGACGCTGAAGGGTGTTTTATGGATCGTTCCGATCGCACGAATCCGTCAGATCTTCTCGCAAGAGTACGCCGTAGTGGTGAACTCGAGCAAGGCAAGGAACAAGATGACAGCCGACCTCTTGGCTTTTGTTGCAGGTTCCGATCACAGCCTCGTAGCAAGCCGAAATGGTTACATCTGCGCCAACCTCCTTGTTTACACCGGAGGAGAGGAGAAACAAGCCTGGGTGCCACTTCCACTCCACCAAAGTGAGGTGGCCTGGGGCAAAACTAATCACCCAATGTCGCCTAGGCTTGTTTCAATTGTGCGCAGTCTTGTTCTGCTGAGGAAATGCCGATCGTGGATTATCCGGTGACGTTGGGTTCCGATCCGGACGCGGCACAGGTGAGCCTTAACATCCTTTGGCGGCCAAGACGCTCGCGAAGAAGGGGTTAGTAATTCCACTGTGGGATGAGAAAGGGCAGCAGACGTAAGCATTGGGTGAGCTGAAGGTTCGAAGAGAATACCCCGAACCCTCCCAAAAAGGACTCAATTTTCCTTGTCTTTCACTGAGGAGTAGAGATGAAGGACAGCAGCAACAGCCTTCCCCACGGCACGCTGAGTCTTCAGGTTGTCGGGGCGAAGAGGCAAACTGCAGCTTCTGTTCACGAAATGGAGCAAGTACTCTCAATACCTCTTGTCCCCCTTGAGTAGACAGAACATGGCTTTGGGTATGTTATAATAGGGTCCCCACATACCTCACCCCATATTCTATGTACTTAAGAGGGGCTAGAGGAACACTTTCACATGACAATGTAGTGGTTCTGCAGTGCAGGCTGGCAGGCTGCGAACTCCATTGGGAAGTACCGGTGAATGCCTTTAAGACCGATGCTTGTCCTATTCAATCTGTTGCCTGGAGCTCCAGCAAGTTATCCAGTGCTCCTAGCTTCCCATCACTTTGCTCAGCGAGCTGGGTGCACTCAGGAGACTGCGAAGGTCACTTTCGACCCCGCTACAAAGACAACCGACGAAAAGTCCTTCGAGATTCAGTGGGTGGGAGAAGGTGACGATGAGCCTTGCCGCATTTCTAGCGTGTATTGCTCCGAGTGTGGGTAGTAGGGTTAGTGGTGGTTGGTATATTGGAGATCTTGTTTTGGGCATGCGCCTGCTTTGGAGCCATGACGTGGCGCTCCAACCGAAAGACCAGAACGGATAATCCAATCAGCACGGTCAGGATACGATTGCTTGTAAAGTTATAGAAGATAGAAGTAGTAGTTTCCCAAAATAGGGGGACCCTAATATAGACCCCAAAGTACTATAGTTTAAAAAGGTACCCCTAATTTTGGGAAACCTCCAAGTTTTTTAAGGGACAAGAATCAGTTGGGCTTGTACAGTCTGGAAAGTCAGGACGAGCCACGGGAGATTGACGATGACCTGCAGATGGACTACCGGGTTTTCCAGAAGCAGGTGCAAGTTTGTGGTGGCACCAGAACATCCATGCTGTGGACTAGTAGAGGGCTTGCGGGACACCACAATGCAACTCCCATGTTTCAAAAGAGTTCAAAACGATGGCATAGTTTCCAAGCTTTTGACATGATCCAAGACAAGCGATCGCACAATTTTCACTTTCTGTCGGTGTTGTCCCGCGAAGTTTCGCACATTTTTCAATTTTCATTTCTTTTGCATCCTCGGCTGCCTCTCCGATATACACACGTTTGGAGTTCTAGATGTCAAATGCGAAATTATGCTGCCGCATGATACGTCTTGCAGGGCATTCTTGGTCGATTGGTCGGGATGGTAGGAGTGGACCCCTAAACCCCAAACCCCTAAACCCTAAACCCCTAAACCCCCGTCTCCCCAACCCCCCCCCCCCAGCATCTGATGTAGATGCCTGGCTGCTGTCCCTTTGCAAATTTGAGCCAATTTGTGCACGCATGCGCTCAAGCATGTTTTTGCAGGCCTTGATCTCACTTCAGATGTGTGAGTGGCTCCCAAAAAAAAGAGTCCTGTTTTTATTGAATGCCGTGATATAATCTATAGCTAAAAACGGGCCCATAGTTTTGAGAATAAGCCCTAAACCTTGAACCCCATAATCGTAGTTTCCATTTTCTTTTCCACTATCCCAATATGACCCCAATATGTCCCCTACACAATCCCTATAGAACCCCTACCCTATTCCCTACATATCCCTATATCATATAGTAGTTTCCATCTTCTTTTCCATTATCTCTATATAGCCCCTATATGGGTGGTTGTCAAAATTATGGTCCCTTTTTGGATCCCTATGATAATACGGCACCTAATATTTAGGGTACCCAAAAAGGGGCCATAATTTTGACAATCCCCCATATAAGCTTGCTGGCCAGGTTCTTCATCTTTTGCAGGAGCAGTCTGAGCTCATTCAGGCCTGGTCCCAGCAAGCCGAGAATTCGGGCAAGTTCGCGTGGGTGGTTTAGGTTTTAGGGTTTAGTGTTAGCGATTAGGGTTTAGGTTTTATATTTTAGGGTTTAGGGCTTGGGGTTTGTCAAATGTATGCTTTGGCTTGTTGATTTATGGATGTCCAAGAATTCGGGGCACCTTTTGCGGGTTCCAATTAAAGATTCTTGGAAATTTGGGTCCATATTGGGGCCCCCCGATTTCTGGAAGCCACCATTTCTGTGCGTTGAGCAGGAGCAGCAGCACTGCGTCCTGGAGACGGGGCAGCGGCTCAAGGTGCTGGAGACAAAGTCGTGGGACTCCATAAAAGACTCGATATAGGCCTCCCTTATCGGACGTGTGCAGTCAAAGGCCACTGTAAGGCCGACCACAGCGCAAGTTTCACAGTTGTAGAGTAGAAAAGGTTTCCAATTTCTGGCTGACCCTCTAAGAGGATGCCGGCAATGACCGCCAGAGCTTTCAATCTGTTTGCAGCTGTGACAGAGGTGAATGTGGCAGAAGCTTCACATCCTCGGAGATAGCGCCAAAGTTACCCTTAGGCTGTGTGATGCGGCACTATGTATGCCATCCAAAGCAGCAACAGATGTATTGCCTTCTCCAGCGCAAAGCAGCAGCACGGCGACAAGATGTGGTTGCTATGTGGCCTGAGTATGATCCAAGCCGTATTTAGTCACAGCAGCTTTTTACAGCTGCAGTCTCACAAAGAGCTCAGAGAAAAAGGCAGTTAGGCTGAAGCCTGTAGGATTTGTGGTCGCTGCAGGGCGCAGCTTTGAAGCAGATACTCCCCAAGCATTTTGACAACCTCATCACCGGCTGCTCACCGTGCTTAAGAGTTTTGATCATACCCTTCTTCCTGCATCTCACCACTTGGTATTTGTGTCAGCCCTACGCACTTGCTGAGGAGCTCCTCATCAGAAAGCGCAGCGAGCGCGAGGCAGCGGCCGAGGCTTTGATGCTTTGGGGCTTTGGTGTCTCCTACGGAGAACTCCTTGTTAACGTGCCCAGACCGGATAGACATACTCATCGCCCTTTTGCATCGATTTTCCCATCTTCTGTGGGTTGGGACGGGAAGAATGGTGGGGAGATCCACGAACTGATCAATCTTTTTCAAGGAAAGTGCCGGATAAAAGGCGATTTTGTGCACTACCAAAGATGGGATCGCCCGAAAATGAAATGCAAGCACCTTCGGCCTCGAAAGGTGCGGTCTTCCCAAAAGCTGGAGGCGGGTCAACAGTTTGTCTGTCTTCTGCAGCCGGCTTGACCTGCATCATCAAACCAAACGTGCGACATGAACCAGCAGCGGCAGGGGTGGAGTTTGGATATTATCTCTGTGTTGGGGCTGCAAGTTTCTCGAACAAGCTTGCGATGGATATTCTTCAGAGGGATCCCTGGTTCTTCTGACAATCCAAGGATCCCGAACGAGTGCGTTAGGACACGTTAGGACAAAGTCCAGAGACTAACTCATTGGAAGTGGCTCCTATACGCAAGCGGCTAGCAGTCACTAACACAGCCCCTGGAAGGGGTGCTGAAAATGGTCGGAAACTTAAGGAAGAACTATGTGCGCAAGGCAACCGCAGCCGCCAAGAAGACAGCTCTCGAGAAGGCCAGAAGCGTAGATCCAACGTTTAGGGTTCAGTGTCTCGGACGGGTTAGGAAACAAGCTCTGACAGGGTTAAGCGCTCAAGGGTTTGGGGCTAGGGTCAGGGTCGAGTTGAGGGTTTGTGACTGTGCGCTTTAATGGAGAGTGCTGACATGCTGTTTTCTTCGCAAAGCAAGGCCTGACAGTCTTTCAAGAGTCCTGGATACACAATGGCTTCATGAATCGGATAGGATTTTGGCATGGATGAGACTTTGTTTGCCCAGGCCCTTTCCATTTTCCAGGCCAGCTTTGCGATGGAGAGCTGTAACTTGCGGTCGTTGCGAGAGCATCTGGGGGAATGACACCTGGTGCCGGAGAGTGCTGCGCAAGCGCTTTCGACATCAATCCTGGCTTGAGGACTTTGAGTCTACTGGGCCTCCGAAGAAAGCAGCGAGGCAACTGCTCTTGGAATGTCGCATGGAGTTGCAAAGCCTGTCCTGAGCGGCTTGGCTAGGAAGCTCTTGCGAGAGGTGGAGCTTCAGCTGGAGGACTGGGCCTTTGATGTGCAGCTTTGCGTCGCGCAAGAACATTTCATGATATTCCATGATGCCCTCACGTTTAATCCATGTGATTTGCAGCAGGCGGTCCGGCTCAGTGAACACCTCTTCGCCCGCTCAGCGTGCTGAACCCAGAGGGAGCGAGTGGGCTTTAGATGGATTGTGCTGCTGCCAAGGCGCGCGGTCCTGCCTGCTTTGAACACCAAGTCGTGGAGCTGAGAGGTGGACATTGAGTGAGACAGCCGTTGCTTATGCAGCCTACCAAGACCGGCGGAGCGCAGCCGCGCAGAGGAGGCAGCGCTAGCGGCTGCAGAGGGCGTCCTCCGCGATGCGGTGAAGGTGCCTGAGCTGGGGGCAGCCTGTGTGCAGCTTGGGGTAGTTCGCACCTAATGGTGCGCAGCTCTGCGACGAATAGCATTGGCTGGTTTCTTGGTGGGCCAGTGATGCGACCGCAGCTGTTTAGGTTAGTAGCTTCAAGTACGGGGCATTTCCAGTAGGCCAAGGCCCACAACGCCCTGAAGCTAGGTTGTGAACTCTAGTTTCTGCTGTGTTTCCCATGAACACGCCCTGACGCCATGGCAGATGAGCTGCATGACGTCTGTGAGCTTCAGGAGCCGGGCCCGTGCTGTCATATCGTATAGGCAGTTCCTCTTTTTCATAGAGTAGACTTACGTCGGGATTACGTAGGAGTTACCGTGGGTTTCTTTGCGGGATCTAATTTTCTTAGATACTCCCAGGGGTTGTTAGAAGGAAGTTCGGGAAAATACCCCCTACATAATCCCTACAATACATTCCCTTATTCCCTATTATTATAACCCCCCTATATATACCCTATTCGATATTATGCTGTTGTAGTTTCCATTTTCTTTTCCATCATCCCTATATAGCCCCATAGTTGGGGGAATGATCATGGCTTTGCTTTATGCTGTAGTAATAAGAAGAATAGTAATAGTAGTGATAGTAATAGTAGTAGTAGTCGTCGTCGTAGTAGTAGTAGTAGTAGCAACAGAAATAGTATTAGTATTCATCGTAATATTAGCAGGATGGGGTGGAGCCACCCAAGCCTGCGCGCCCCGTAAAGCCCGGACACCTCTGGTCGGGTGCTGGAGATCCCCAGAAAGCTGCCCGACCACCAGGCGCCTGAGTGGTCCTTTTAGTTCGTGAGACTTTGGGTAGATTTTCATAAGATTCCCATATACCCCATATTCTATCTACTTAAGGGTGACTATATGGTACCAATATAGAGTAAGATTGTATCCTCCTTTTGGATACAGTATGTTGTATACAGTTCCTCCGAGAAACATCCCATATCTCCGCATTTTATGTTTCAGGTGAACTATGGGCGCTTCTTCTGCAGCTGCACCGGGAGATTTTACACCGCTTTGACAGCCAGGACGAGATTCTGAGCCGTGTGCTCACAAGACCGTCCTTGGTGGAGCAAGAGGAGCTGGCAGATCACCAGAACCTCGGCCTGAACGCGGGACCACATTGCTATGAGAATTGCATCGCTTAATTCTTATGTTGTCAGAAATGGTGAGTTTAAAGTTGTGCGGCGTAGTTCCTTCGTGGTTACAAGGAGCCAGGGGACCTGCGACAAGGACCAGGAGGACGAAGTAGAGAATACATGCACGGATTCAGGTCTACGTGAGCCAAAGCAGCCAAGCAGGACCAGCTTTACCAAGGTTTTTGGAGGTTTATATGGAATAGATACATAGGGCATATGTAGGGCTTGTATAGGGGTGTATAGGGAGAGGCACCAGCCTTTAAATATTTTTTGGCTTGCAGGAAGGGCAGGCCCTCATTCACACCGAAGATTTTCCGAACCTTCGACCAGTTTGATCATTTCTTGCGCGATGAAGCCGCCAGAGCTGATTCCAGCCACAGGAGACGAATATGACCCCTACATGGGTGGTTGTCAAAATTGTGGTCCCTTTTTGGGTACCCTTTATATTAGGTGCCGTATTGTGATAGGGATCCAAAAAGGGACCATAATTTTGACAACTACCCACATGATCCCAGTGTCCATTTCATTTTCTATTCTTTGCTATTTGATTCTACATTATCTAGGTAACATCAACAAATCCCCAAATTAACACAGTACAGGTGGTGGAGTTCACATTCATAACTGGGTGCCTTGCAGGAGAAGAAAATTTGCCAGTGTGAAGAGTGCCAATGACGTGCAGCCACACAGTGAAGGTGGCTTGGTGCAGACTGTAAAGAGTTCCAATGTTCGGACCCTACACCCAAAACCACCAAAACTTCTGCCCAGAACTGATGAAGTTCTGTCTCTACTGCAATCATGAAGTTGTCTTTACTGCCATCTTTTTGAGAGATTTAACCTGCCCGGGGCAATGTAGTGAGGTGCCGGCTGAGGGACGTTGGGTGATGCTGTCAGGCTGTTGACGTTATGGGGTGCATAGGCATCTGCTTCCGTTCCTGCAGCTGGCTAGCTTTGCTGGAACCCCGGAACGAACCGTGCCTGCTGAGTCCGATGCGAGTGCCTAAACCCCCAAACCCTACAGTAAACCTAAAGTGGGCTGAGGCTGGGTAAAAGCGGCAGTCCACCATCCAGCTTTCGACCTGTTCTTCGCATTTGTTGTGGTGACAAATTCCGTGTTCATTGGCATTGAAGTTGAGCAGGGCCTCTCTTCACTTGGGCCACGACCCGTAAGCATCTATATCTTCCAATATGCCTATTCGAGCCTGTTCACGATGGAGCTGGTGCTGCGTTTCAAGGCAGATGGGTGGAGATTTCTTTGTGGCCCTGAATGGGTTTGGAGCTGGCTGGATGTCTTTATCGTTCTTAGCTCGTTGTGGGAAGTTGCCATCGAGATCATGTATGTCTGGCAGGGAGATGCAGGTGCCCAAGAAGCCGCAGAACACGTGTCAGGCATTATCAACCTAAAGGCTTTTCGAGTCATTCGAATAGCCCGCATCGTGAAGGCCGTGAAGCTCATGCGAATCTTTCGGTTTGTCATTGCTCTTCGCACGTTGATTACCTCAATCATCCACACCCTGCAGTCGCTGTTTTGGGCTTTGGCGCTCTTAGTGCTGATTGTGTGTCCTGAGCGTCTTTAACATTGCGTTTGTTGTTATGTGGTCTTCTTCAAAACTTGGTTCTGAAGAAGAGGAATGTAGCGGCAACAGGCTGATTCGACCCATGATCCCCGCCCACCAGCCGCCCAAATTTTTGGAGCATTGGATTCTGATTGCTTACTATACTTTGCTACAGAACACCTTTGACACACGTACACACAGGTACGTGTTTGCGGTCTTGTTTGTCCAAGCAGTTAACGACTTCAAGCTGGATCCTGACAATGCCAAGCTCCCAACCCGAGAACTGGAAGCAAGTGACCTGTATTTTTCATCCTTACCGGACACGATGCTCAGCCTGTTCATGTGCATCGCTGGTGGCGTGAATTGGGGCGAAGTCCAGTCTCCGCTGAAAGCCATTTCAACTGTATGGGTCGTCTTCTTCCTGTTCTACGTGGCATTTACGCTGCCGGCCTCTGTTAGTCCTAGCGATCTAATTTTCCAACCTGCAAGTGGCTGAGTAGAATCATAGAGCCACAGACCAATGCCTGCTGTCCAGCCACTGAGGTATTTTGCCGTCCTCAACGTTGTCACAGGAGCACGGCTTAGTGACAGGAGAGTCCAGCAGGAATCAGAGTGCTTGTTTAGTAGATGCGTCCTACTGCATCCGTGCACAAGGCAAGTTAGTTGGATACAGTACGAGACAACTAGACGTGAAAAGCTCGGAACAAGCAAAAGAAGCTTCAAGGTTCAAAGGCCAAAGAGCTCCAGCAGCTGCATATGGCCAATACAGGGTCTTTGGTGACAGAAGCTGGGTCACTTTGCGAGCACCCATGACCTGCCCATGACCTTTTCAGGCTTCAGGCACATTGTGCCTTGCATAGTGCTCAGCTCTCCACCGTAAGATTTACTGTATGAGACGAGGTGGGTCGATAAACAGGACTAGCAAGAAGCCCTAGAATCGTGGGCTCTCAATCTGAACGCATGCAGTTGAACTTGCTGTGCCAAAAGCCCAGCTGCAATCAAAGCCTCCGCAGGCGAAATGATTCATAGTCTTGTCTGTTTGTGCAGGAGTTTTCTGTCAATCAGCCATTGACAGCGCGCAGAACGATCATGCAACAGTGGTGCAGTCCATCCTGGCAAACAAGAAGGCACACGTGGAGAAGATCCAGGCCCTCTTTAGCCAGTTCGATGACCGGGAAACTGGTGTCATTACTTTCGCCATGCTCGAAGAGAAAATCGACTCACCAGATGTCCGGGAATATTTTGAGACCCTGGGTCTCGACGTGTGGGATGCATGGTCATTTTTTAAGCCACTTGTCGAGCTTTGGTGGTGCGCTTTGCTTGTACCTCTGTCAAGACCCCAAGTCACATGCTGAAAAAATATGGACTTCGCGCCAGGTGTTTCAGTTTGAACGCACATTTTGCAAACTGCCACTGGCTGTAACCCTTTGATAGAGGCATGGATATTGCTGCGAATGGGGGTCTCTCTGATATTTCCCAAAGTTCACTCATCCTTTTCCATCGGCACTCCCAAATGGCACCCCAATGTTGGAAACAGCATAGCTTTTCCAGATTCCCAAGGTTGCTTGACCTGGACTCGGGCGGCGCAGTAGAAACAGAGGAGTGTTGTTGTAGTTGGTGGTGATGGTGGCGGTGCTGGTGCCGGTTGCCGGTTGCCGGTTTCTGGTTGCTGCTGCTGCTGCTGCTACTAGTATTGGAGCTGCGAGCGGTGCTGGTGCTGATGCTGCTGGTGCTGTTGCTGCTGGTGCTGTTGCTGCTGGTGCTGCTTGTGCTGTTGCTGCTGGTGCTGGTGCTGCTGCTGTTGGTGCTGCTGCTGCTGTTGCTGCTGTTGCTACTGGTGGTGGTGGTGGTGGTGGTGGTGGTGCTGCTGCTGCTGCTGCTGCTGCTGCTGCTGCTGCTGTGGTTCTACGACGGCGACAGCCACGATGATGCTGACGACGGTGATGACGACGATGACGACGGCTCGGCAGCTACGTTTTTTCCTCCCAGCCCCCGGTAGAGTCATTGAGAGGAGTTTTTGATGGGATGCCTCCGACTCCGTGGCCAAGCGAGAGCGATTGATGCCGCTAAGCTTGACTGCATGTTAAGCTTTCTTGCATTGAATGGTGCTTGCGGAGTACCTTGATGCAGGAGGCTGCTCCGAAGTCCAAAAACTTGGGACCATCATATGGGACTCCTTCCGTGTACCCCCCCCCATTCTGTGCTTCCTGACTGGCAGCAGAGGTTGAGAAGCTGATCTATGACCAGACCTGGCTCATCAAAAGCCGCAACCTCAAATGAAATCAACAATTCCTTACGTGTGAACAGAGCCTGGTTTGCTTCTGCCGGAGGCCAGAGCCGATTTCAGGCCTACATGGAGGTTGAGTTGAAACAGCTGAAGGAGACCCAGCGCTATCTTTTAGGCTGTTACGGGAACACAGTTTGTTCCTTGCAGGAGCACATGGAGCTGCTGACGGGCATCAATTTTCACCATCGGCATTTAAGCTGCTATGTCGCATTGCGGGCATGTGCTTTAAACAGCAAGGTGTGTTCCCATGTTAAACGTTCAACGGTTGTGCGGCGAGTGCTCTGGCTCGGAGTCATTTTCTGTTCTCTCATCATGCATTTTCATTCTGTTTTTTCCGTGCTTGACGCTGCTAGGCTACATCTTGATGGACAAGGAAGTGGATGGTGGTACTGGTAGCAGTGAGAAGGAGTCGTCAGCAGGCTAACAGAAATTGAGGACGGACCCGGTACCATTGCACGTTCCTGCATGCTGCGGAGGCACACCACGCAGCCTCTGTTTTGCACGGGCACCTGTAGCCTGCCCATCTCATCCTATCTCGAATTCATGAATTTACGTCAGCAACATGGTGGGATGATGGGTCAAGAGTCAAGTGATCTTCAGGCGATGGTAACGAGTTGTCTGAGATATGTGGAGCACTGTTGTTGTCGCTAGAGTGCCGTCATCCCACCAGAGCCCTGGAGTGGGACGCTATGCATGCCAGTTGGATTTTGAGGTGTGGCCCACATGAGCTACGGTCAGAATTCGGCCTTATTAAGGGATCACAGGGTTCCTGTTATAGTATAGTCCCGAACTTATTCCCTAACAAGGAATCCATATCCATGAGTCCATATCCATGAGTTCTCTGGATAATATTGACTGTATCTCACATGGGCCAGCCCGCGAGGGTAATACCTCCGTAGATCTCCGTAGCCAAATTCGACCCAGCAGTGCCAAGCAAAGTTTGACGGCGAGCCTAGGTAGCCATTGGGGTAATATTAGGGTTATATTGCGATTATTTTGGGATAATGGAAAATAAGATGGAAACTACTGTTTAGGGTGCAGTGTGTAGGCTCAGGCCGACATGCAGCACGGATTGCGCTCGGGCAGGACGTGTGCCAGATTGGTCTGGTAGCGCTTCTGTGCCAATAGAAATAATGCATCGCTCATGCCGCGCAAATCCACCCACTGGCTGATAAAGGCTTTGAACGTGTGTGACGCTTGCATACAGAGACATTGTGACAAGTGGTTCTTGTCCGTTATTTGGGCATCCGTTGACACGACGGGCAAATCTGATAAGTCCCAATCAATCTGGGGCCCTCATACTTGGGGGTCATGCCCGGTATGTAAGCTCATTGTACCCTAAGTACGATCCTGCCTGAAGGACCTGGCAGAGCAGCAGCACCAGCACCGCCAGGAGCCTATGAGGAATGCAAGCCTTCCCTGTACTTTGGCATAGAGATTTTGTCGGGGTTTGGAAGCCACGAGTTGGCGAGGTTGTAGCTACATGATTGTGTATGGAGGTCAGCAGCTTGCCGGTGCACAGCGGGGATTGGAACGGGCAAAGCTCGATGCTGGAAGCTGAGGGCCGGGAAAGCTTACACGGATGTTGAATATGTTCATCTGTCACTGAGAAAGAGTTTGCCGACCGTAAATGCGCATTGGGACTATCTTTCGACTATGCGAGAATTGCAGCCTTGGTATTCCTTCGTAGGGTTATGAGGAAAAGTACCTAGCTCGCGTGGCAACCGACATGACCATGGTAAGGGGCTTTCTGAGGGCTGATGGTGTCGCGTAGCAGGGATTGACGACTTTGACTTCCACCTAGGCGCATCAATTCTGGTGTGCGGTATTACTGTCTGGGAAACGTGACTGACACCACTACAATCACTCGTTTCAATTCAGGCCACTTCAGCAGAAAACGCTTGAGGCAGACTTGAAGAAACCAAGGCAGCTGCTGCCGAGGAACGAGTTGAGGAAGCGACGGAGCGCGAAAGGCACCGGGCGCTGATCTGACATCACTGCATGGGAGCAAGGGAGACACCCTGAAGCCATCGCATGACAGAGGAGCGCCCGCAGTGAGCACGGGGAAGCCGTGGCATCTTTGAAGAGTGTCTGAAACTTGGCTCTGGTACCGTGTCCTTGGAAAGAGATCGGCGCAGTCTCCGAACAGCTTGATGCAGGCCTCTGCGTCGCTTCGTCAGCTTGAGGAGGAGTGATCTGCGGAGCTGGCAATTCGCAGTTATCTTGGAAGGGTGAGGCAGTGCATGCTCTTGGCCGCAAGGTTGAAATTAGTCAGCTGCGGCAGGTGTCAACAGATTCAGTAGCTGGTAGCTGCATGTCGCAGAAAGGACACACGAGGCCTTGTCGGAAACCCAGCAGCATGTCCGGTGCACGCTGAGTGTAGTAGCAGGGTGTGCGAGAAAGAGAGGCTCGCATCCCAGGTTGAGCGTCAAAAAGCCTCGGAGGCTGCGCTCCGTCGAGCACAGGGTGCGCTGAAGGACCTGAGGCAGGCTGCTCAAAATATGGTTTCAGGAAATCAGAGTTTCCAGTGTGGGTTGATTAAGTCTATTGCCACCTTACGTGCGAGCTGACCCAGACCTGTGATTAATAAACACCCTCCCCTTAAAGGGTTTATAATGGGGATCCAAGTCTGCAGGCCCTTCAAAGGAGGGGGTTGATTGATCACGGGTCTGCATTATGAGCTGTCGGTTGATGCATTGGAGCTGCAGCGCTGCTGCAGGAACTTCCTTGGGACATGACCCTGCTTGCTGGGTTTCGAAAAGACCGGGGGCTGCCACGGTGGCAACGAAAGTTGCGAGACCTCCCTGTGGCTGCCAGGATTCAGGGAACAGCAGTGCGTCAGAGACTTTCTCGGTAGCATCGAATAGCTGGGAGAGCCTCTCGCTAAGTGCTTGCATTTGGGCTCGCAGGAAGGTCTAGATGGAATCCTCCTTGCTTAGAGATGGTCGCAGATCAGTATGGTCTGGAGGCCCCAGCTGGTATGGGGTATAGGGTTTAAGGTTTAGGGTTTAGCAAGTTTTGGAGTTGGAAATCTGTTCCAGATCCTGTGCTGATCTGTGACTTTGCTGCTTAGTGTGTCTGCCAGGTGACAACCACCAACCAGGCCTGTGCTAAAGCGGTGGACTCCTACTACGAGGCCTTTTCTTGGACGCTTCCAAGTCGGATGTATTATGGCGCTATCATGGCTTGCCTGGCAGCAGGAGTCACAAAGTTAGAGACAAAACAACAGATGGACAGCGACTACAGGAGAACCTGAATTCAGCCGCCTCTAAACCCCATACAACCCCAATACGCTGCATAGTAGTTTCCATTTTCTCTTCCATTATCCCTATAGAAACCCAATATACCATAGTAGAAAGGATTTTCTTTTTCACATACATTATCCCTATAATAACCCCAACACGCTCTTGGGTTCGCGAAGCATTCGCTGGGCGGAGGCAGTGCTAGCTTACCGGCCTTTCCGATTATGGTCCGCAGCGGCTGATGAAGCGCCAGGGCATACATGTCTAGAGGTCCTGTAGACTTGGCAGACCAAATTAAACTGTTAGGTATCATTTGTATTGTTATAGAATCAATTTTCTCCTGAAGCTCTATGCCGGCAGCGGCTGGCAAGCATGTGAGAACAGCCAAGGCAATGCGGCAAGACGCATCGTGCCCGATGGCGCGCGTGCTTGCAGCTGACTGCTCCTTTTGCCAAGGTGATGCGGCGAAAGCCAAGGACATGGCTTTTGGCAAGTAGACAGCCGGAAGAACGGGGAAGGATGATGAGCAAAGGTTTTTTGAAGAGTGCGAGCAGCAGCAAGAACGCGGCAAGAACAGCCAGTATGATGCTTGAATATTGGCGATTCGTGAAGCAACTGGCACGTCTGGGCTCATGGCAGTCACACGTTGAAGCCATAAGCAAAGTAATCAACAAAGGCAGAACTAACGTATCCGTTACTGTCATGATTATTGCTTCTCACTGCTAGTAGTACCCACATGCATTTGATGGCTACTACTATGAATATTACTACTACTACTACTACTACTACTACTACTAGACGCGAATT